AAAAAACAAAAATGTAGAAATGTAAAAATTGTAGTGGCCGAGATGGGAATCGTTGAAGTTTGTAGCCAAAGAATAGAAGTTCCTACTGGAAATAGGAATGCACCTATATCTTTATAATATATGTATAAATCCATTCATTAGATTTGATACGAGAATTTATAAGTTCGTGGTTGTAAAGAATTAAAATACCGAAATAATTCCAAAAATCGAGAATCCAATGCTTTGGGGAATGAATAAATTGTCGTAATTCGAAAGTAAAGTGTATAACACCTAAAATGATGGTTGCAACTAACAATTGCTTCTGATCATCTTTTGATAATTCATTTTTAAAAGTAGCAACTATTAAAAAACATCCCATAAAGACAGAGTAAAAGGCCCAAATAGCAAAAAAATAATATTTTCCATAGGTATTCCATTTGAAGTTAATAAGAACTTCACTATTCCACGATTTGTAAAATTCTGAAGATTTATCCAAAGTATATTTAATAAAAGGACTAGAATCAGGAATAATCATTTCTTTCAAAAGATTATAGTTGCTAGTATATGAGCTAAATTTTGGGAATGGAAATATAAAAATCACCATTGGATTAATTAATGGTTTCTTATTAAAGGAAGCGGTACATTTATAAATAATTCTTTGAAAAAGATGAAAAAGAAATGAAATATTACTAATTAAATTAATATTAAAAGGCTGAGAAAATTTTTGATGACTTTGAAGATGTGATTCATGAGAATGATTTATAACACCAATTTCAATATTTGTACTTGCCAGAATAAACGAGATGTAGAATAAAATTGTTTTTAACAAATGTGGAAATTGTGTCAATTCGTCATATGAAAAGGTAATAATTTCTAACAATTTAATATTTACTAAAAAGTTGTCTTCTTCTACATTTATTTTAATGCATTGCTTATATAATCTATCCAACATCGTATATTTGTTATTTCTTAAAAAGCTGTATGTAAGTTCTTTTCCGTATTAAATGCCAGTATTAATTTATCTTCAAGGTAATCATCTAGTAATTCTTTAAAAGGGCTTCTTCCATCCATAAATAATATATCGTGAAATAAAGTAATTGTGTCAAAATCTGTAGGTGGTAATGAATTTTTTTCATACTTTTGTATTTCATTAAGTAGCTTTTTTATGTGTGATTTTTTTGCTTCAAATTCCTTTTCGTAAAATTGTTCACTTTTGTAAATTCCTAAAATGTATCGGTTTTCATAATCTTTCTCATATAGATATGTTGCTTGGAAAGGAAACCCTTTATAATAACGTAATCTAATTTCATTCTTTTTCCAAATTGACCAAATTAATAAGCCAATAGATGTAATCATCGCTAAATCTTCATTACCTAGCAACTTGCATCTATAAACTATAAATTTGGATTCTTTTATATGCACTGGACTAATATTCCATTCACTACCCACAGATTCCCATTTATTGTTATCTTTATCAAATTTCCGAGCTTTTAATAATCTGCCATTTTTCTTTAATCTCCACCTTATTAAAACCCCGCATAAACATCCTTTATATCTGGAATTATAATATCATCTTCATTTGCAATATTTTCTATGATGATACTTAAAAACTCCTCGATTTGAGATTTATTAGGTAAAGATCTTATTTTATCATAATCACCTAATTTTTCCCGTAGGTATTTTCTCCACAATATTTTAGAAATCTCCTGAACTTGTAGAGATCCATCCAAGATGCTATATATTTTTTCATTTATGATTACATTAAATTCTGATTCTAATATATTTAAGTATTCAGAAAGATCTTTACATAGTTTTGACATTGTTGCAACGTAATTAACACGTTCGAGACAGTAAGGATCCCTTATTTCAACTGCAACTTTAGAACCTTCAAAGAATAAAAGTAGTCTTTCTTCTCCATCAAAGGAAATAAATTCTGAATGTAATAAAGATTCATCTCGTTCAAATTTATCTATTCATTAAGATATCGTAAAATTTAGAATATGATTTAAATAATAAAAAAAAAACATTGAAATTAAGAGCTTACGATGTGATAAAATCATTGCGTTTTCTGTTAAATAAACAGAAACTTGTAGACATACTGCAAGTAATGAAAAATCTTTATTGAAAATAAATAAATCGATTTTTAATGTATAAATTGCCCATTCTAACTGATATTGTTTTCCAAATGATAACGTATTTAAATTCCATTGGGTTAATAAACCGCAGGCGTCTAAGATCATCAATTTCTGACCTTTGGTTATCTCATAGGCTTTAATCTCTCCAGATATCCCACAGGCAATTGACCTTTTGGCTTTCCAAACTTGATTGCAGAAATCTTTACTAGAGAAAATCAATATTTTATAATGAGTTTCACCAAGAGTTAATATGAGCACCTATTGCTAAGTCTCCATAATCATAAAATCTGCAGCCACTGAGATGATGATTTAAAAATGGCTTATCTCGATACGTTTCTAGTGTAATCTTGTTTTTTTTCATAAGGTCAATAACCTCTTTAATAATAAAATTTTGAAAATTAAAAAATTAGTGAAAATATTTTTAAGGATATGCAGTCACACCGTTCGTTCGAGGCTATTGTTAAAAAATTGCAAAATCTGCATTTAGACAGAGATTGTATTTATAAAGAGTAAAATATATATAGTTCATATAAGTTTTGTCAGGCATTTAGAGAGGGTCCATGTAGTACTTGCACGTAGGGTGAGTATGAATTAATCATTATTAATTACTAACCGATAACTTTATAAATTGAATATTCGTCCTTAGCTGATTGTA